CCCCCACGAGGGGACGGTGTCTCCGGTGTGTTTTAAGACGAGCTCACGTCCCGGCGGGCCTCAGTAGAACTTGTCGTCGATGCGGAAGTGCGGCCTGCTGACGTCGTCCGGGTTGAGGAAGACCGATATGGACTTGCCGGGGTTCTCGGTGACCAGCTGCTGCAGCCGCTGGGCCAGACGGTCCTCCGAGGGCGAGATGATGCCGTTGGCCGGGGGGTGCCCGGGCGAGCCGTTGGAGTTAGCCGTTAGCTCCTTTAGCTGGCCCGCCTGCCGGGCCTGATCCACGGCCGCCCGCAGGTGCTCGCCGGGGTCCGAGCGCACGTGCGCGAGCTTCCTGGCGACGAGCAGCGCCTGGCTGTCGGTCAGGTGCTCCAGCATGTTGCACTGCGGCAGGAAGTAGTTGGGGCAGTTTTTACCCAGGATGCAATGAGCCAGGTCGTCCAGCAGACCCAGGAGGAGGCGGCCCGGCGTGTCCGGGTCGGGGCAGGACAAGTAGGCGAGCGGGAGTCTGTCACAGGCCCAGAAGAGGAGGGTGCGCAGGTGGTAGAGGCTGAGGCCCGCACGGGGCCGGGCCAGGATCCGGGCCAGCACGGCCTTGGCTGCTTGGAAGGCCTGAGCCATGGGGAGGGGGATGCACTTCTTCAGCTGCACCTGGTCCAGGGAAGACGGGTCAGAGCTGCGGGAGCACAGAGAACACGGAGAAGAAGGAGAAGCCTCACCTCGCTGCGGGAGAACACCAGCCTCCACTCCCTGTCGGGCCGGCCCCCCAGGGGGGAGCAGCAGGGCAGCAGGTAGAACCCGGAGATGGCCTCCTCCTCCGTGATCTTCCCGTCCCAGAAGTGGTTGGCGGTCAGCCAGCCCTGGGCCACCGCGGGCCAGCCCCGGAACGACACCACGGGCAGGAGGTCGTACAGAACCCGGCTGGAACCGGCCTGGAACAAACAAAGATCCAGTTAGTGAGGACTTCAGCAGAGACGGGGGCTCCGGGCCGGTACCTGAAGGACGATGGTGGTCAGGGGGCCGTTCCTCTCCAGTCGCTCAGGGGTCGGGATGCCTCGCTGGGGGCTGCGCCTCAGCTCCTCCACGGCCTCGCTGACGACCCCCCAGAACCAGTCCGTCACCAAGCTGGGGGAGAAGTAGCTTCCGTCCAGAGACTGAGAGGAACCCAGAGCAGGGACGGAGCCTTTACCTTCAAACGGACACAAGAAGAAGAGACGTGAACCTGAAGGTCTTTATGAAGTCCAGACCCGGAAGACTCTTCCTCCGGTTCTGTTTTCTGTGCACGAGCGCTTGGCGTGATGCACCTGGCCTGAACAGCTACAGCAACACCCACAGGAAACAGCCGAAGCTTCCGCTCCAACAGCTGAAAACAAAGTTTCAGTTCATCACTTGGTCCCGCCTGTCCCACTGTCCAGCGTGTGGTCGAGTGTTTAACCTGCAAACCGCTGCGTTATGTTTTCTGACTGCTTCGGCGCAGGAATGTGGGGGAAACAGGAGCCGATATCCAGGCAGGTTTTACCTCGTGTCGCCCTTCTGAGGGTTATTAGAACGAAGTCTCTGCTTCCTGAACTGATCCTGCACCAAACTATCGGAGGAAACTCGTTTCTGCTCTGAGACGACAGAAACTTTATTGTGTGGGTGCTTATGAAGCAAGTTTCAGCTTTTTCTGCTATTTTAGCTACTATTTAGCCATTTTTATGCTGATTTTTGCTTTTTCAGCTAATTCCACATTTTTTGCACTCATTTAAACTTTTTTTTTTTTTAGCCTATTTCTGCAAAAATGTGCTCTACCTACTTCTTATAACTTAAGCTTCTTTCTGCCTCTTAAGCTACTTTTCAGCCATTTTTTATTTTTAAATAAATTCCACTTTTTGTGCTCATTTCTGCTTTTTTCAGCTTAATTAAGATAATGTGTTCTTTCTGCTTTCTTCTGCTAATGTTAGCTTGTTTTAACTTTTAGCTAGAGTTTTAGCCTTTTTAGCTAATGTCAGCTGTTTAACGCTAAATTCAAGCTTTTAATGTTAATTTCTGCTCCTTTCAGCCCAATTAACTTCTTTCTGCTAATTTCAGCTCGTTATGCTCCTGTAAACTTTTTTCTGCTTGCTTCAGCTTTTTCTGCTATTTCAGCTACTATTTAGCTGTGTTTATGCAAGTTTTTGTTTTTTCAGCTAAATCCTCATTTTGTTTTAGCTCATTTTAGCTCTTTCCACATCCTTCTGGTAGTTTAAGATTCTTTCTGACTTTTCAGCTTCTTTTAAGCCACTTTTTTTTGTTGCTAAATTCAGCTGTTTTTAAACCAATTTCCTAATTTTTGTGCCCTTTTCTGCTTATTTAAACCTAATTCAGCAAATGTGTGTTCTTTCTGCTTTCTTCTGCTAATTTAAGCTTGTTTTACCTTTTCAGTTAAAATTTTTGCTTTTTTTAGCTAGTTTCAGCTGTTTAAAGATCAATTCAAGCTTTTAATGTTAATTTCTGCTACTTTCAGCCCAATTAACTTCTTTCTGCTAATTTCAGCTCGTTATGCTCCTGTAAACTTTTTTCTGCTTGTTTTAGCTCTTTCCACATCCTCCTGGTAGTTTATTAATAACCTTTCCAACTGTTCAGATTATTTTCTGCTACTTTTTGCCAATTTCAGCTGTTTTTAAAAAAAAATTCCTCATTTTTGTGCTCTTTTATGTTTATTTAAACACAATTCTGCAAATATGTGTTCTTCCTTTTTTCTTCTGCTAACTTTGAATTGTTCGTCCATTTCAGCTACATTTCAGCATGTTTTAGCTAATTTCAGCTGTTTTTCAGCAAGTTCTTCAACAATAAACATTCACAGTGTTTTCACAGGAAATTCAGTTTCTCTAGTTTGTTTTTTTTTGCAATCTGTGAGAATTCTCTACATTCAGTCTCAACTCATTTAGTTTCTTTTTCTGATCTGCTCCTCGCAGTGATCAGGTTTTCTCCACTCACCCATCTCCTCTTCCTCCTCCTCCTCTTCCTCCTCCTCCTCCTCAGCTGGGAGCCCGTT